CGATTTCGATTATTAGATTTGCTTTTAGTAATGGCTAAAGGAGTGAGCCGAATGAGAAATGAACACTTAACTATCTAATTAACTAATTAATCACTGGTCAAGCATAATTCTTTAGGTGTTTTTCATGAAACTGTTTTTCAGAAATTTCAGAAGAAGATGAAATCAATGTTGATGATCGTGTTTATTGTCACCTATACGGTTTTCGATATGGCTTTTGCGAACTCAGTGAGATTTTTAATAAATCGCTGATTAGAAAATTCCGATTTTTATCCATGAATCGATAAAATTAGAGAATTTAAGTCGAATGCTTAAATCCATAAATAGAAGACAAATAAAATCCATGCTTCGCTTTAATATTCCATTATTCCAATTGCAGTGATTTTTTTCAGAATGAAAATGCCGAAGCACAATTCATGAACATTCCGAGTGATGAACTGCGAAAACTCGTAAAGAGATCCGATACAGTTTCTCGATTTTTCAAACGCAATTACGACCGAATCACGAACGAAACGAGGGGAATATATATATTTCCTTATGGCCGACGCCAGCCATAATTCTGTTTTCATTCATTGTAATTTATTTAGTAAATTATTGTCGATAAGCATTGTTATACTGCGAATTAAAGGTGAAAAATTTGTTTAAACCTCTTAAGAAAATGAGTTAATAAAGTTTTTTTCATGAATTGATTTACTTGCAAAAAAGCCAGTTTGTTGCATAATTCCTTTCGATTCCTTTACATCCAATCGAACGTTTATTCGCCAAATCCCATAATTTCCTGCAAAACCTCCTAATTCGCGCTTTTTGAAATTTTGTCTCCATCATTCTCCTTATTATTTGCTTCACAAAATAACAAAATGATTATATTAGATTTGTCCCACCCGGAAGCGAGCACTTTTGTGCGTGCAGTCAATTTTCTCGATAATGCGAAAAATGCTTCGTGAATGGATGTGATGTGTCCTCAAGGAAAATAGTCTAAAACAAACGGGAAGAGTAGAAGCAAAATATGTTCTGCAAGAAACGTACTGAATAAACGAAATTCGAGAAGCAGAGTTCCACAGGTCGGCAAAATTTTGTGATATTCGTTTCCGATGAGCGATGCAATACAGTCACGGCAAGTAGTTATATTTCCAAGTGGCTCTATGGTGAAAGAGTCACGTTTTCTTGACACGGCATTCGACCCCTACGGTACTCCCAGCCTGGTAATATACAGAGATAGTGCGATAAGTAAGTATGAAATATGCGCGTAACCAAACGATCTCAAGGCCTAAAAATATAATTCGCTCGCGAGCCAGGGTAACTGCTCGAAAATTGCTTGTAATTTTTTTAACAATATCTCTAACAAAAAGTGACATGGTCATGGCTACCACGATGAACTCGGTAATTGGAAAAACATAGCCGCTCCTATTGAGGCGCTGAAACTAACCTTAGATCAGGCCATGTTATGGTTCGAGCCAAAATTCGCAAAGTAAAAATTTTTAAATTAGTGAATTTATTAATTTCTTCGATATATTAATATATTACTATAATATTAATATTAATATATCGATATATTACTTTTTTCTATTAAAAATTATTTTATCGAAAACAAAATTTAAAAAAAAAATTTAAAAAAAGTATGGAAAAAAATTTTCAATAAAATATAATAGAAGTTTATCAAAATATATCAAATATAATTTAATAAAATTTAGATTTAGTGAATTTTTTTTTCGAATTTCGAAACTTTTTTGAAATTTTTTTTTTAGGAACTGTTAAACAACGAAAAAAACCAATCATTTAGAAAATTTTATTTTTTAATTAATAATTTATAATTTATAAAGAAGGTTAATGAAGGTTGCAGTATAAAGCAAATATATTTCATAACATTCTTAAATATCTTTTTGCGGAAATATTAAAAATTTTTAAAAAATCTTTTAAAAAACAATAAGAATGCAAAAAATATTTAAAATCCATTAGAAATCTTTGTAAAAGGCTTTAATTTAAAAAATTGAAATCAATTGTTTTATGTATTTCATTTTTTTCCTCAGTACTATTATTTTATAAGATAAAAATTTTTATAATTTCGCAAAATAAATCAGATTAACAATTATCAACTAAAGTTCAGTTAGTTTAGTAATCTACAATAATTTACAATTTGTGACGTATTTTTTTCAGAGAGTTATCACTGATTAATTTTTTCTATCATTTTATGAAATTTAATAACGTTTACTATATATCTTAACATTTACAAAATTGCAAATTTTTTTGCAAGATTATTTAATACAATATTTTAAAATTTAATTGAAAGTTTTGATTTGCATCTATAAAATTTGCATTTGCATTTTAATAGGATAATTAATTTTTTGTCGAGCACAAAGAAGTTCAACAAAGCCTAAAGCAATCTTTTTTGGGAACCCTCAAGAGCTCGCAAATTCATGCGTGGGAAAGTGGTTTTAAAAGAATTCTAAAGAATTTTGGAGTAAAAAATTGTGCATTGGGACCGGAATCTGTAAATTTTTGTTTCTCGTTAAAAAATTACAATATTTTTTTAACATTTTAACATATATTTTTAATAAATTATAGTTCGATTTCGGAGCGAAAATTTATTTCAGAAGTTATTTGTTTTTATTACTTTTCATGAAAAAATTATTTATTTCGTAAATTTTCAACCAATTTTTTTAACGAATTTTTTCATTTCTTTAAAAATGTATTTGCATTAAAATAATTCGCTGATTAATTAATAAATTATTATAAATAATTTATTAAATCTTAATTTTTAAAGACTGAAAATTCTAAAAGTTATTAGTTATAATAAATAATAAATATCGCTGTTAGCTTTAGTGAAATGTCATATCATATCATATCACTGGTATTGTACAATTGCTTGCACAAATAGATTGAATTATATTTATTTATTAGCATATGCACATTTATTTTGAATTACAAATTTTTTATCCACTTTAAAATAAAATCTGAATAAATTAATTTTATAGAATTTTTGAAATATGAAAATACAATCACTTTTGTTCAATTAATCCAAAAAATTTAATAATTTTCCATAACTATTTCATAAAATATATTGCAATACTTTATATATAAATGAATTTCCTAGAAAAAAACAAATTCGTTTAAAAATTAATGAAGAAAAGGAGCAAAAGCCAAGCAATCAAGATTACTGCGATACTGAGTCGCTTCGAATTATAATCCCTTGGTGTGACAAATAACTAAAACTAGACTTGAGACTTGAATTCAGACTTCAGTCTAGTCTTTGATTTAGGCTTATGGCTTTAGCCAGAGAAAAGTTGTTGGTACCAAAAACCAAGATTTATGTCGACAATGATGACGCAAAATGATTCTTATAAACGCTTATAAAAGCATCAACAGCAATCAGTTCCGGATTCAGTCAGTTTCTTTCTTTACCTTTTTTCCAATATAATTTTGGACATAATTTCATAGCTAATAGATAATTTTTCGAAAAGTTCTCGTAGTCCAGAATTGCTCCTTTTTTGTTTAAATTGTTATAGAAATTATTCCTTTTCGCAATAAATTCGGGCATCTTCGATTTCGATTATTAGATTTGCTTTTAGTAATGGCTAAAGGAGTGAGCCGAATGAGAAATGAACACTTAACTATCTAATTAACTAATTAATCACTGGTCAAGCATAATTCTTTAGGTGTTTTTCATGAAACTGTTTTTCAGAAATTTCAGAAGAAGATGAAATCAATGTTGATGATCGTGTTTATTGTCACCTATACGGTTTTCGATATGGCTTTTGCGAACTCAGTGAGATTTTTAATAAATCGCTGATTGGAAAATTCCGATTTTTATCCATGAATCGATAAAATTAGAGAATTTAAGTCGAATGCTTAAATCCATAAATAGAAGACAAATAAAATCCATGCTTCGCTTTAATATTCCATTATTCCAATTGCAGTGATTTTTTTCAGGATGAAAATGCCGAAGCACAATTCATGAACATTCCGAGTGATGAACTGCGAAAACTCGTAAAGAGATCCGATACAGTTTCTCGATTTTTCAAACGCAATTACGACCGAATCACGAACGAAACGAGGGGAATATATATATTTCCTTATGGCCGACGCCAGCCATAATTCTGTTTTCATTCATTGTAATTTATTTAGTAAATTATTGTCGATAAGCATTGTTATACTGCGAATTAAAGGTGAAAAATTTGTTTAAACCTCTTAAGAAAATGAGTTAATAAAGTTTTTTTCATGAATTGATTTACTTGCAAAAAAGCCAGTTTGCATAATTCCTTTCGATTCCTTTACATCCAATCGAACGTTTATTCGCCAAATCCCATAATTTCCTGCAAAACCTCCTAATTCGCGCTTTTTGAAATTTTGTCTCCATCATTCTCCTTATTATTTGCTTCACAAAATAACAAAATGATTATATTAGATTTGTCCCACCCGGAAGCGAGCACTTTTGTGCGTGCAGTCAATTTTCTCGATAATGCGAAAAATGCTTCGTGAATGGATGTGATGTGTCCTCAAGGAAAATAGTCTAAAACAAACGGGAAGAGTAGAAGCAAAATATGTTCTGCAAGAAACGTACTGAATAAACGAAATTCGAGAAGCAGAGTTCCACAGGTCGGCAAAATTTTGTGATATTCGTTTCCATGAGCGGTGCAATACAGTCACGGCAAGTAATTATATTCCCAATTGGCTCTATGGTGAAAGAGTCACGTTTTCTTGACACGCGCGTCCGACCCCTACGGCACTCCCAGCCTGGTAGTATACAGAGATAGTGCGATAAGTAAGTATGAAATATGCGCGTAACCAAACGATCTCAAGGCCTAAAAATATAATTCGCTCGCGAGCCAGGGTAACTGCTCGAAAATTGCTTGTAATTTTTTTAACAATATCTCTAACAAAAAGTGACATGGTCATGGCTACCACGATGAACTCGGTAATTGGAAAAACATAGCCGCTCCTATTGAGGCGCTGAAACTAACCTTAGATCAGGCCATGTTATGGTTCGAGCCAAAATTCGCATAAAATTCATGACAACTCGTACGAAACAATAAACAATTTTATTATTTCAAGCTAAAAGATACGGGAATAATAAGCGAATTAAATTCAATGAAATAAAATGAATACCAGTGAAACGGATGAATACTGAACTAAAGACAAATTTCCGAAAGTCAGCAACCTCCATACAAGGACATATTGGTAGAAAATGCTGGGTGTCGGATAGTCCAATAGTCCAATTGCCCTATAAGACTGCCAAAGCACGAATGTCAGGAAATCCTGACTACCGAATGTTTCGAAGAATTGCAATGGCTGCAGGACTGCACGGTGGGGCATAAACTGCTGTTGGACCGATATGGTAATGAGAGAGCATATAATTTTATTGCGCATGATAAAGCTATTAAGGATCGCCTCATGGAAGATGGAAGGAATTTTTTTGAGACTTAACCGTAGCATCATCTGTTGTCCCAGATAGCTGACTCGCTAGTCGAGCACATTTCGAATATCGACAATCTACCGCCAGTGTTTCAGCGATTTTGCAACCGCCTTCGATTCAACTGATCAAATATTTATTTCTGGCGATTTTCACTCAATTAAATCACAGTAGAATGGAAGGAGTTTGCTCCACAGTGTCATTTGGAAAGGTTGAAATATAGGAAGGTTCTCAAACCCACACGGATTTTTCTTTATTCATCTTTATTTTGTCTTTCTAAGGAATAATTTCAGTTTTTGTGCTTATGTTTTCTATCGTGAAAATGACACTGTTGTTGTTGATGTGATGAGTCGGATAGGAAGGGTTTATTCACCGTAGAATTATAGCAGCAATATAATACAATAGTATAATAACTGAGTCAAGGAGACGAATTTAGGCTTAAGGAAGGAAAATATCGCGTTGAGGTGCGGTTCGAGGAGGGAAATTATTCGCTGAACGAATTCTAAGAGCTTACATATTGCCCTTATGTGCTTAGGCTTACAATATCATACAGACTACATATAAAATTGGTTTTTCCTTCATACAAGGAAAATTGTGTAGAAATATTATCAAATATTTTTCACAATTACTTTTCATATTTTTCATTAAAGATTTGTAAATATGGTAGTTTTTTGCAAATCAGCTAATAATAGAAGCCACCGCTTTTTCCATCGTCTAAGTCCATATATTGCTGGTCCATCTATAAGTTCAAAATCTTTTCTGACCGTATCAGTCCATGTATTGACAAGGGTGGTCAAAGGCAAATAGCTTCTTAATATCCTCCACTCTCATTGGCCATGTTTCAGAGCCATATAGCAAGATCGAAGATGCGGACTTCAGTTTTAATGGTAATTTCGTAACAGTTCCATAAAGATTTCGTCAGCCGGAAGAACGCATTTCTAACGCATACTGATCCTGCCATTGTATCAATTTATTATATAATTTATTGCGTAGTTTATACTTTTTTAAGAAAAAAGATGACATTATTATCCATTTAAAAATTAAAATAATAATTTTAGATATGAAATTTTAAGTAAAAAGCAAATTTTCAAACAAAATTTTTATATATCCAATTTTAAATTGCAATAATCGTTTTAATTACGTTAAATTCCCGTGCTGCACTCCCAATTGTATTTTTATTTATTTAATTTTTTATCGTTCTAATAGCGAGTGGGGCGAGTATAACCATAAATAGCGAACATTTTCTTTTGTATAGAAAAATGAGACCCCTCTGGTGAAAATGTCCAATTTTAATGGCCACTGGAATGAGTGCAACCAGAAAGAGTGAATTCTGGAATATTTTGCGAAATAATTTCTTTAAATTTTAATAAATTATTTTTTAAACTTTCTTATATTTTATAATTTTCTTATCGATTTATATCAATTATATTACAAAAAAAATTACAAAATAACAAAAAAATGACAAAATTGCTGAAAAAAAGCAACGTTATATTATTTGAAATCGGCTTCATATCGCAGAACCATCGATCTTTAAGCCATAAGTTTTGTCGCCGCTACCAAGGACAATAATTTTTAGGCGAGG